GTTTGGGGGGGGGTTTAATTTAATTGCTGTGATTATTTGTTAACCTTATATTAATTAAGGTTATATTTATTTGTAGGGTGTGTTTGATCAAAGTTCTTGAAGTTCTTTTGTGTGTGCTAAGTAAGGACCAAAGGTACGTTTAGGTAGCTAGATACCTTTGAAATTGATTGGATTGTATAAGCATGTTTTACATAATTTTTATGATGATTGAATTAATTGAATTGAATTGAGTTATAATTTATGAAATAAAAGCATGTTTTACAAAATGGTTTTGATAAATAAATTGGAGGATTGATTATATATCATGTTTTGAAAGATTTAAATTATTTATCATGTTTTGAAAAGGTTTGATTTGGAAAGCAAACAAAAGGAGTTTTGAATTATGTTGGAATATTGAAATTAGAAAAGGATTTATTGAATTTTTTTTATTAAAGCTTTACAAGCATGATGATAGTAATCCCACTATGTGGATTTGGTTGATAAGACTTTGGACTTTGTATGACCGAGTCTTTCCTTAAGAATAGCCTTGAAATAGTAAAAGACTAGCTTTGGGGTGTGTACACTTGGGTGAGGAATTGGTTTTAAAAAGAGGAATTTGTTTTAAAAAAGAGGAATTGGTTTTCAAAAGAGGAAATGGTTGGGGGGTGTGCACACTTAGCATATCTTGTTCTGTATTTCCTATTTGTTTTGGTTCGCCCTGTTTACCTTAATGGTAAGTAGTGTTGACTATTTTCAGGTGGAGTCATTATTTGAGCAAATGGGAGTCCTAAGACCTTCTTCACCTAGATTAAGAATGTTGGTGTTTGTTTATTTATGAGTACTCATGACAATGGTTTCTATTTATAGCTATTATTAATAAAAAAAGAGTTTGAGTTCCCGCTGCAAAGTATTTGTTTTGGTTAGTAGTGTTGGTAGCCTTGCGTAATCACGCGGCGGTAATACGCCTAAGTCTATCTCTACAGTATAGTTATACGTATTATAATAGTATTTCCATAGAGGGAGATTTGGGGGTGTTATAGGGTGGACCAATCATGAACATGACACCAACGGAAGTGCTCAAAATCATAGATGATGTAGTTCAAAACTACACTGGTTGGAGTCTCGACTAGAGGGGCATCTCCAAGAAAGGAGGAAGGTATGAGATTAATGCCATTAATATGATTAATTCAAAATAAGACGATTTGTCTGAAAGGAATGGTGTCCTTTGAACAAGTGTGTCATTCCGATAGAGGGTTTGAATTATTAGAAAGCTAATTATTCAGTTAGGTCAAGTGATCGGAATGCCTTGCTAGAGGCCGCTTCCAATCAGTAATGTTAATGCATAATTAATATTACAGCTTAATTTGGTCTGAACCATTCGGGTCTCACCCAATCGAGTAACCGAACCGAAATGACAAATTAATCTGAAGGATTAAATGGGTCATTGGAGTATTATGATCAAAGACGTCGGATAATGAGCTTAGAGCATCGTAACCGAGCATCACAAGTTGACTCAAATTTAGAATTCGACAAGATGAGAAATCAAGCAAACGACAAGTTTAAGCTAAGCCATAGCTTCTCATTAGCCTATCCAAGCGAAGACTAGGCTAGCATTGGGTACCAACAGCAATGCATGGCTGTGCTGCAAGCCAAGCATGCATGTGTGTGCTAAGCTTGCTGGCAAAGCATGCTTGCGGGGCTGGTGCGCCTAGCTGGTGCTAGTTGGGCTAGAAATGGCATGGCAACAACTTCCTTGTGGGTAGCGAAGGCCTAGATAGCATGTTAGGCCATGCGAGCAGCAATGCCGCATAGCACGAGGCCCGGCATGCAAGATGGCCTATGCGTGTGCAGCACAGCAAGGCTGGCAGCCAGCCAGGCCTTGCGCCCATTCCAGCCACAGCACTTGCGTGTAGTTGGTTGTACGTGTGAAAGCATGTGTGTGTGGGTTTGCTTGGGGAGCAAGGGGAGGGTGGTCCGCCCCTTGTGGTCCTCACCTAACCCCTTACTCATCACTTGACACTTGTCGTTTGTTGATTCACTTGCATTTCAATTTGATTTTTGAATTAAATTAAATTGAATAAAATGCATTTTACCAACTCTTCCTCATTGATGGCAGATTGGAATTCAAGGGCTCTCTTCTCTATAAATACCAATCATTTGGCATTGGGAAGGAACACTTAAGTTGTGAACTTTAAGGGATCTCCAAGAAGAGAATACCTTAGTTTTAAACTCTAAGTTCTTTAGGTCTAGCCCCGACTATTCTTAGGGTAGGGGCCGTCGAGTCGGGTCTCGAGGGTGAGAGCCGTCGGAGGCTTTCACATTTGTTGAGCTTTACGCTCTTAAGTACGAGATCTTAGAAAGAGTGAAGCACGCATCAAGGGTAAGATCATCTTTTCTTCTTTCTCTCTCCTTGTTAATTAATTATGTGGTTGTTAATTAATTAATATCCATGTTTAGTTACTTTAATTTATGTGCAAATTTTGGGAGGGTTTCATTCCGCGTAGTGTCGGACACTACGAAACCTAACAGCGGTATCAGAGTTATGCTCATTTAATTATTTTAATAATAATTAATTAAGGTGATTTAAATGGATTTAAATTTCTTGTTTTGCTTTCAAATTAAATTAGAAGCTCGTTTTAATTGGTGTTAATCTCGTATTTATACTAATTTTGGCTCAAGAACACAGATTTCGACCCAAAAGTAGTGAATTTTGGGTGTGGAATCGATGTTCTAAATCAGTTTTGACCCTCTTTAAGAACTGTCCAGAAGCCAAAGCCCACCCAAAAACATGTTTTTCGAGGGGTTTTTCGTTTTTAACAAAAATTTTTAAATCTTTAAACCTTGATTAATCATGGCATGTTAATGTTAGATTATGTGGATAGTTACATAATTAATAAACTATACATGCAATTTAATTGCTTCAAGTGTGAATGTTTATGTGTATTTGTAATTTTGAAGTCCCTAAAATATTAAAGATCCAATCTTTAATTGTTTATTTGGTTGGAACTTTACTTTCTAGATTCCATGTTGAACTAATTTTTGGATTAAATCGTGAATTGATTAAAGTGTTAAAAGTTCAAAACTTTGTGATTGAAATTTAATTAATCTTCATATTTGAAGATGTAATTTTTCAAGTTTACACAAGTTAGTGTTAGAAATTTTTCATTGGATGATTGTGTTTGATTAGGGGGATTTTCCAACCAATCACACCTCGCCATGTGGACCAATCAGGTCCTGACCAGTGTCACTCAGTTGGACTTATCAGGACCTGCCACGTGGCACACTTCAGCTGGTCCACCATGGACTTCCTTCCTATGCTGTGCCATGTGGCCCTTCAGCCTTGCCTAAACAGGTAGCAGATTGGGCCCAAATCCCAAGAAAGCCCAGTCAGTCCTAAGGTTGGCCAAAAACCCTTGAACCTGGCACGCTTCCCAATGCTATAAATACTGTCATAAATGCTCATTAATGACAGAGATTGTTCATCAGAAACACACAGATTGCCTAAATCCCAAGATACTCACACACCACTCGGTACCTCCTGCTAAACCCGTCCTAGCATCCGGCACCTATTTACATTTCGCATTACAACTCCTTCAGTGACTAACTTGATCGTTGGAGACGGAGCTCCCTACCCAAGGAGTCTCCGTTATCTTCCAGGTACAGGCGCGTGGTTTCATCCTTGAAGTTGTAACTCTCCCAAGGGACACCAGAAAACCTTGAAACATTTTGGCGCCGTCTGTGGGGAGAGTACCTTTGAGATGGGGTCACAATCTGTACCGACTAATAGTGACAAGCATCCCGAGGGCGACTGCCTAGAGGACGACCCTCATGTCTCCTCTGATGAAGACACTGAGCCTGAAGTTGAGACTCACATGGCCCCAGACGGGTCCTTGAGGGCTCGACGCACTACCCCTCGTGAAAGGCAGGAACGGCAAGACCAGGCTGGTCTAGGCCAAACGGTCGAACCTTCGGCCGACTCTCATCAAGCAGTCGACTAGACTGCTCCTGTCTCAAGGAATGATCTTATGACCATCATGAGAAGTTTCATGGGTGGATTCAAGATCTCATCAATAAAAAGACAGTTGTCTCCCAAAAAGGGCAGTTGAGCAAAAAGCCTTCCTATTCAGGAAAGAAGAAGTCATTGAAGGACCGTGAGGCAACCCCCCACCCTCGCCAAAAGGAGAGGCGGGTACCTCTAGTTAATTCGTCCAAGCACCGTATCCCAGCCTCATTGGGAAGGAAACCAATCCGCCTTGTTCAACCAGACGGCTCAAAGAAATCCTACTCAGACACCCGGCTGCAGATTCAACAGAAAAGGAGCCAACAACAGTCTGAGTCGGCCTCCACTTCTGATTTTCCTGACAGTGTCCAAAATACTTCCTTGCAGTGTTCAAAATCAAACTATGAGATCCGAACGGCAGCACACCCTCCGATTCTAGCTCTCGTCAACAACAGTAGGCACCATATGTTCCTCAGCTGCCATATGTGCCACAAGCTCACTACTTTTTACCACCTCCTCCTTTTGGAGGCCAAACAACAAAGCATGTCCAGCCTTTAAACTGGCAATTACGACTGCTTCAACTTGGAGAACAGCCAACCGCCTTCTCCAAGGAAATCTTACAAGCCGCCCAGCCGGCTAAAGTGAAAAATGTGTTAGTAGGCGCCTATGACGACACCACTAACCCAGAGGATCATCTGATGGCATTCACCAATTTAATGTACCTTCAAGGATTGGACGATGCCACATGGTGCAGATGTTTCCGGCCACTCTGAAAGGAGTTTCCCAACAGTGGTTCGACAACTTGCCAACCGGCTGTGCCAACAACTTCAGGACATTGGCCTATTTGTTTGCCTCCAACTTTTCCATGAACATACCTGCCAGGAAGACGACTCTTGATCTAGGAGTCGTCCAGCAGAGAGAAAAGGAAGGTTGCTCTCCTATATAAAAAGGATTGAAAGACGGGCCGAACTTCAAATTCGACTTGGTCAGAAAGAGAGTGGCTACTCTCCAAGAGGCGATGATGGAGGCTGAGACCTACATACAGGCGGTAGACCTCTGTCACATGGGAAATCAAGGGGATCAAAAAAGGTTCGAGAAAAAGGAGGGTCGTTCACAGAAAGCGGCCCCCAAGGAAGAGAAGAAGAGGAAAGATGTTTGGATGGCCGACACCACTAGTCAGCCGTCCAGCAAAAAGAGAAAGGAATTCAATCCATACTCCCCCAAGTATGAGTTCAACAAAGATAATCATGCCATCTTCACAGAGATTAAGGGCCGACTCTCACTCGAGAAGCCGACACCTATGAGGGGTGACCCTAGCAAGCGCAACCATGGCAAGCACTGCTACTTTCATGAAGACGTTGGGCATGAGACCAACGAATGTATCAGTTTTAAGCGTCTGCTAGATCAGTTGGCTGAAAAAGGTGATCTGGACTCTTATGTCAAGAAACCCAAAGGAAAACAGCCCCCCAAAATGAAACAGTAGGCCAGGCAAAAGAGGCACAAATCGGCCGACAACTCTGACACTGATGAAGCTACCATCTATACAATAGCAGGCGGCTATGTAGGGGGAGGTCCGACTATTCGGGGAAACAAGGATAACATCAGACAACTGGATGTTAACTCTGTTAATAAGGATGAGACCTCTGGTAACTCGTTTCCTGAGGTTATTATTTCTGAGAAAGACTCGGGTGGTGTCCGACGACCACATGACGATCCAATTGTAATCAAGTGTAAAGTGGCCAATCAAAGAGTCGGGAGGATACTTATTGATATAGGGAGTTCGTCGGACCTCATCAGCCATAAGTTCTTGACCAAGCTCAAGTACAGGCTTGAGAGTATACAACCTCTCTCCCATCCTCTCGTTGGATTTGGAGGGGGAGTTGTCCATCCGATTGGCCAAGTTGACTTGCCCGTCTGTCTGGGTAAGAAAGGTGAGGGCCGCCACATGGTCATTCGTTTCCTGGTTGTGGAAGAGCTTACTGCCTACAACATGATCCTTGGGCGCCCAACCCTTAATGACTCTAAAGCAGTTATCATTCCATCCCTTATGTTGCTCAAGTTTGAGAAGGACGAAAAAACAGTTGGTTCCATAAGGGGGGACCAGAGAATGGCCAGAGAATGTTACCTCACTGACATCAAAACAACGGTAACTTCAGACGGCTCAACTGGCAAAGCCATAAAAGAAGCGTCTATCCAAGAGGCAGGCAGCAGGAAGAGAAAAGCCTCCGAAACGGAGGTCAAGAAAAAGCATAAACAATAGTAATCACTGGCTGAGGAGCGGCCGGATGAATTCCGCCCTCAGCCAGCAGGGGAGCACTTAGATGTCGCCCTTGATGACAGTCGTCCTGACCGAACTATTAAGGTGGGGACGACTGCTCTGACTGAACTTGGTGATGATCTTCGCTAACTATTGAAAGATTTCCAGGACATATTTGCATTTGAAGTTCATGAGATGCCAGGAATTAGTCCAAACCTAGCGGTACATAAAGTAGATGTCGACCCAAATAAGAAACCGGTACGACAGAAGAAAAGGCATCATGCCGAAGAAAGAAACCAGGCGGCCGCCGCCGAGGTAAAGAAGTTACTTGATGCAGGATACATCCGGCTATGTTTCTACCTAGAATGGGTTGCAAATGTTGTCCTAGTCGAAAAGCTGAATGGTTCCTGGCGCATGTGTGTGGACTACACTGATTTGAATAAGGCATGTCCGAAAGACAGCTATCCTTTGCCAAAGATCGACAGCTTAGTTGACTCAACAGCCGGCCATGCCTTGATGAGTTTCATGGAAGCTACTCAGGTTTTCACCAGATCCCTTTGTGGAAAAAAGATCAAGAGAAAACGGCCTTTGTCACAGAGCAGGGACTATATTGTTACACGGTCATGCCGTTTGGTCTGAAGAACGCCCCAGCAACCTTCCAAAGAATAATAAACACTGTGTTTTTTGAACAAATTGGAAGAAATGTGGAGGTGTACATTGATGATATGATTGTAAAGTCAAAACTCCAAACAAACCATCTGGTCCACCTCCGAGAAACATTCGCCACACTCATGCGGCACCGAGTCATGCTCAATCCAAAAAAGTGTGTCTTTGGAGTTAAGTCTGGGAAGTTTCTCGGATTTCTGATAAATCAAAGGGGAATAGAGGCAAATCCTGACAAGGTACATGCGGTCATAGACATGCAGTCCCCTCGTACCGTCCGAGAGGTACAAAGGCCAACAGGCTGCCTTGTAGCTCTCGGAAGGTTTCTCAGTCGGGAAGGCGACAAGTGCCTCTACTTAAATGGGGGCTGGATGCTGAGTCGGCCTTCAAGAAGTTGAAAGAACACCTGCACTCCCTGTCAAGGCTAGTTAGCCCCTGGCCAAAAGAAGTACTTTACATGTATCTTGCAGTATCCTCTTAGCTAAAAGAGACGGTTGCCAACTCCCAGTCTACTTTGTCAGTCATGTTTTGAAGAATACAAAATTGAGATACCCACTGGTGGAGAAATTTAGACTCGCCCAGTACATGGCAGTGAAGAAATTGAAGCCTTATTTCCTGGCACATCCGGTGGTCGTTTATACAGACCATGAAGTCGTCAGGACGGATGATAAAGTGGGAAATTGAGATCCAAAGCCTTGAGGTCACGTTCGAGCCCAGAAAAGTTGTTAAGGGGCAAGCCTTTGCAGACTTTATAGTTGAGATGACCCGGCCACCAGAATATGAAGAAATTGATCAACTCTGGAAAGTCTATGTTGATGGGAGTTCCACAGCAAATGGTTGTGGGGCAGGTATTGTATGTCAGTCGCCAGAGGGCGACAGGTATGAATATGCACTTCGTTTCAAGTTTTCACGCGTTAAACAATGAAGTTGAGTATGAAGCCCTTCTAGTTGGTATCCGCATGTGCAAAGCAGCCGGGGCAAGAAAGATAGCTGCATGTTCTGATTCACAACTCATAGTCAGCCAGTACAATGAGGATTATGAAGCTACTCATCCGGCTATGGTCAAGTACCTAGAGGCAGTGAAACAGGCGGCAAGCTCACTTGAAAATTTCCAGTTCACCCAGGTTCCAAGGTCGGAGAATAACCAGGCGGACGCCTTGTCCAAACTGGCATCCTTGGCCTCATGCGACACCCCAAGAACTGTATTCTAGGAGGTAATGGAAAAACGGAGTATTGAGGAGGACAACATTGCAATCCTCGATAGAAGTTCAACCTGGATGGATGCCATTCGAGCCTACTTAACAGACAGTCCTAGTAAAGAAGCGGGTAGCCAGTTTTGAAATGCACAAAGGAGAACTTTTCAAGAAGGGCAATTTGCAACCTTTCCTAAAATGTGTTACCCCTGAAAAAGGACGAGAGTTCCTAGAAGACCTGCACTCCGGATACTGCGCCTCTCATGTAGGCGGTAGGTCACTTGCTCAGAGAACGAGGTGGCAAGGGTACTTCTGGCCGACTCTGGAGGAAGACGCCATGGATCTGGTTAAAAAATTTGACAAGTGCCAGAGGTTTGGCAAGTTGATTCATCGTCCAGCTACAGGTCTAACGACTATCCACAACCCAATTCCATTTGCTAAGTGAGGCATGGATATTCTAGGACCCTATACGCCTGCATCAAGCGGCAGGAGGTACATCCTGGTAGCAGTCGACTACTTCACCAAATGGGTGGAGGCCGAGGCAGTCAGGGGCATCAAGACCAAGGATGTAATCTCCTTCATTTGGAGGAATGTGATCACTCGTTTTGGGGTTCCTATGTCCATGGGTTTTGACAATGGTCCCCAGTTTGAGACGCATGTTCTCAAAACTTGGTTGAGAGATCAAGTCATTGCCTACTGCTTTGCATCAGTCAGACTGCCGCAAGCAAACGACTAGGTTGAAGCATTTAACAAAATCATCTAAGACGGTATAAAGAAGAAGATTAAAAAAGCAGGCGGCCTATGGGCAGACGAACTACCACATGTTATCTGGGCCATAAGGACGACTGAAAAAGGAGCGATTGGAGAAACACCTTTCCTCCTAACATATGGGGTAGAAGCTGTCCTACCCATTGAGCACTAAGAGCCGGCTCTCGGAGTTATGATGTATGATGAAGAAGCAAATTGGGAAGCAATGCGCCTGGCATTGGATTCCCTCCAAAACGTAGGGGCAATGCTGCCCTACGCCATGAAATATACCGCCACAGAATGACTCAAATCTACAACAGAAGAGTACACAAGCGCCCACTCAAAGTAGGGGACTTTGTATTAAGGAAGATGGAATCAGTCGGCAGGGCCAACGAGTTGGGAAAGCTAACTCGTAACTGGGAAGGACTCTACCGAATCTATGAGGAGGTCAAGGACGGCACCTACCGTCTGGAAACTCCAGAGGGCCGACCCCTGCCTAGGACTTGGAATGTAGACAATCTGAAAAAATATTACTTTTGATGTAATTATTTAAAGTTTATTAATGAAAGTTCCAAGTTTACCTTCTTTTCATATGTTTCAAAAAGAAGTACACTCCGCCTGTTCCAAGACAGACGGATACACTCCAACACATATTTACTAAAGGGAACTCATGTTTGCCCACCATACGGCTAATCAACCCAGGCACCAAGCCGCTTGATTACACTTAATTTTTAAATTAATACGACTTGTCCCAATAAATAGCACGCGTCCGAAGACATGCCATTTGGATGAGATTCGTTGCAGAGAGCAGCTCCCATTTGGGTGGAATAATGCTCTATAAACTACTTACACGGCCCCTATACGGCTATCCCCAAGGACAACATATCCGTTTTAAGACAAGGATAACTCAACACTTTCATAAGTGTCAGCAGTTGACATCTACGTCGGATAGCCGCCTGTATTACTTAGGATAAGTACAGGAGGCGCCCTCTGAGTTAATAGTCAATAAAAATTGACGAATCAAGGGGATTAGTTGGCCATTGACGACTGGTACCTCTACTACTCAGGATTAGGAGCAACCACGATTGGTTAACACCATAGTTAAACCATAGTTGTTCTTCCATACTTGGTTCGAAATCCTAAAAGTTTGAGCAGTCCGCCTGGTCTTTGGCAAAAAGGCACTCAAACAAACATTCCCACTAAGAAATACTAAATGAATCTGAACAATCTAGAAGGACCACTCCGTGTCCGACTGGATGTGACAACGACTGATACACCCATCTGAATTGACAGTCGTCCAAACAACAAGCATCCTACTATGTTTCTCGTAAACATACCAAGGAACTTACGACAATTAATAAAACAGCGACTAGCCGACTGTTCTCTAAGAACTAGGCGACCCCTGTGACTTGAAATGCACTCTAAGTTGGTTAATTTAGTCGGTACCTTAACACTGTGACTAAGTGCATTTCACTCAAGACTGGTTATATTTGCTACTGGGATCCGACTGTCTATGGCCGACTAGTTACTCTCTTTTCAAGAAGTAACCTAGTCGTCCAGGGGCAAGGGCAGTCGGCATCAGGATCCAACATTTTAGCTAAAAGTTTAACACGGATACGCCATACAAGCGGCTATTAAGTCACGACATGCAAAATGTTTGGAAAATTCAACAAAAACAAAAGTCAAAAGACAACAGCATATGTAATAGCAAAAGACGACTCAACAGTCGCCAAATCATATCAAATTAAAGCCAGACAAGCTGGCAAAGTTAAGTTAAAACCAAACAAGCTGGCAAAATATTCAGAAGCCCCGGCCCCCTGGCCGGGTAAGGATACACAAATACACAGCACGCAGGCCGGATGAAATTATTTGGCACACAGGCCGAATCAGGTTTAAATAAATAAAATCTTAAACAATTGGAGGGACCTCGCCTTCAGCAGCCGCCTTCTCTTGGCGGGGAGGGGACACTTGATTGCTCTGAATAGTTTCCTGCTCTTGTTAAGGCGCCCTTTTGGAAGACTCCCCCTCAGCCGCAGCAGCCGCCACCTCCTCTTCTTCTGAAGAAGAGGAAGAAGACTCGGAATCCTCCTGGTCACCGCCTCCTCCCATGACCACTTTATCATGCTCCCTAGTGCAGGCGGCAAACTGGTCCTCCCATGTAGAGTAGTCGGTGTTTGGATAGAGGTTGGTCCAGGTCATTTTCATAATGGCATTACATTCCTCCATCATGTCAGCAACCAAAGCCTTCTTCTCTTCTTCAAACCTCGACTTATATTTTTTGGTCAGCTGCTTCTCCTGGTTGACCAGGCGCTGCTTCAGGCGGTCATTACCCTTCTTCAAGTCCTCCGCCACCTTTACAGCCTCGTCATGGGCCTCGACCTTCTCCTTAAGCTGATCAAT